TCTCTCTCTCCAATGCTACTCTAGCTCCTACTAGCGCCCAGCGCTGAAGACTACTGCTAACACTACTACTACTCCTGCAGCGCTCCTCCAGAGTGTTGCTGCTGAATCATGAAGACTACCTCCTGCCTCCTGCACGTGAAGTGCCTGGGAAGTTCCTATGAATTGCCTCGTGACTGCCTGCAGCCTGCAGGGCGGGCCTGTCTTATATAGTGCTGGCCCGTCCAGGAGGCTGCTCTTGCCAATGCCAAAACGTGCCAGACCCTGGCGTTGAAGTTCAACCAAAGGTTGTCTTGAAAACAGGCCCAAAATGGCCTGTGCTAAAACCCTGGTCTGGTTCCTAAGTTTCAGGGCAGGTCGATCTTATGAGGGCCTGAAAATGGCCCTCTGTTTCAGGCTGAAAAGACTCAGGGCATGGGCTGAAACGACACAGGGCCTGTAGGCCCTTGTTTTCAGGCTTTCAAGCTGAAACGACACAGGGCATGTAGGCCCTCGTTTTCAGGCTTTTAGGCTGAAACGAAATAGGCCCTACACCTACTGACCCTTAGTCTACCTTGTTGGGCTCTGCTGGCCCATGTGGTACAGAGTATGCCACACTCCCCCCTCCTTGAAAGACCAAGCTTACCTGCGAGGGCGAAGCTGTCGGTTGGAGGGAGGGACTGAAGTCCGGGTGGGAGGCTGTGCAGCTTCCGTGGCTAGCCGTTTTTTCTCATAATCAGCGTAGATTTCTGGTGCGGAGGCTTGCAAAGCCGCCCGGGAAATCCATCGCGTGTCGTCGCGGTCGCACCACTTGAATGCGACTTTGTACTGCATTGGCTTGTTGTCGTGCTTGCGATGCGTGATGACGCGGTCGACTTCCTGATGACCATCCATGGAAGGAGGGTCCTGCAATCGTCGGCCCGGGAAGTCGTCGCTCTTGGCGTATATATGGCCAGCTTGGAGGCATGGGAAACCGGGTGTACGGTGAGATGCGGCGGAATTTCGATCACAAATGAGGGGCCATTGGGCTCATCGCCCGCGGCTGCTGTGACGGGCCATGGTCCAAACCACTTTGGAAGTAGCTTGCGGGATACGTCTTGCTCAAGCGTAAACTCCTCCGTGGAGACCAAACAAGGTCGCCGGCGCGGATAGGGCATGGCACGCGACGCCTGTTAGCTTGCTGTTGCATGCGGACTTGAGCCTTTTGCATGTTGGCGCGGGCTTTAGCCAACAAGTCCCTATACTTCCGAACGGAGGCGGGAGAACAAGCGGCGTTAATGTCGACAGTCCTTGGAAATGGAAGATCAGCGAAGATACGGCCTTTCCTGCCACCGTGGTGCAACTCGAATAGAGTCACCCCAATCGCCGGGTGCAACGAAGTGTTGTAGGCGAATTAGATGTCGGGGAGGCGGTCCACCCAATCCTTCTGATCCGTACGGATGAGTGTGCGAAGCATTACTTGAGCGGTTTGGTGTGCCCTCTCTGTTTGCCCGTCCGTTTGTGGATGTCGAGCCGAACTTGGTTTCATCTCAGTGCCGGACTCTTTCATGAGGGAGGTCCAAAATGTCGACATAAAACGAGTGTCGCGGTCGCTGATGATATCTTCCGGAATGTCGTGGCCGCAAATCCAACCGATGTGTAAGAAGCGTGCAAGTTCAGGAGCTGTGGCGTAGTACTTGCAAGGAAGAAATCGTGCGTACTTGCTCAATCGGTCAATGATCGTGAGAATGTCGTCGTGCCCGAAGCGGTCACCGGGGAACAGGCCGGTGACGTCCATAGCAATGGAGAGGCCGGATTCCGCGGAATCGGCAACGGGCGTAACTCACCGTAAGGGTTGTGATTGTGGGGTTTGCTTCGTCGGCCAACTTCGCAAGAGTTGCAATACCGAGTGACGTCGGTAATGAGGTCAGGCCACCGGAATCGTTGTCGAAGTCTTGCGATCGTACGGTTGACTCCGAAGTGGTCGGCGAGTCTCGAGTCGTGGTACTCGCCGAGGAGGCGAGTCCGTAAGCGACGGTCGTGTGGGACGCATAGTAAGTCCTTGCCTCGCGAGTGAAGAAGCAAGAAGCCATCGACGACGCGATAGTGGCTGGCCGGCGGGTGATCCGAGGATAGTTGCTCGTAGAGCGTGGCGTATTCCGGATCGGACTTGTATGCTCACACAAAATGCTGATGAAGGGCGTCGTCGAAACTGAACGCGTGGTGAGTCAATGCACAAAGATCTGATCTTCGCGAGAGAGCATCCGCGGCTCGATTGGAGAGGCCCGAAATGTGTTTCGGTTTGAAGTCGAACTGATTGATGAAGTACATCCATCGAGCAATCGTGCTGCTCACCGTGTCTTGCGTCTTGTAGTAGGTCAATGGGTTATTATCCATCGCCCAAGTGAACCTCGAAGGTGAACGGTGCGGCGGTAGAAGTTCACCGGGTGGTCCTCGCTGCGCAGCCACGACATGCCCAAAATCATGTCAAACTGTGTGTCCAATATGTCAAAGGACACGGTCTCACGTGCATGTGGGGCGAAGTCCACGGGGACGGAGTCAACGCACCGGTCAATGGAATTGTGCGTGCGACCGTCGACCAATGTGACTTGCGTGGGCTGCGATTTCCTTCGAACACGCAGCCCAAGGCCCACGCGCGTCATGAAGTCTTGACTGATGTGGTTGCGAGTAGCTCCACAATCAATCAAGGCGTTGCAGGTCACCTTCCCGATCTGAATACGGACATAGAGTAACGGTGCGTCGATGTTGTCATACCGTTGCGTGGCGTAGTCGCGGTCAATCTTCACAATGTACTCGCGAAGGTCAACAACCGCTACTCCGTCTTCCATCAACGGAGCTGGTACTGTAGCGTGCAAGTAGGTGCGTAGTTCCGCCATTAGGGCGTTGCAATGCGGCTTCGGCAAGGAACCAGATGGGGGAAGAGGCAACCATTGGAAATCCTCCAGCGTCAATGGGTCGAGCTCCTCAAGTCTAGACCATATCGACGAGTCCCCAAATAGTGTCGATGAGGATGCTGGTTCACTTGGCGATGGTGTTGAAGTCGTGCACGCATATGACTCTTGCACGTGGAGAGGTTGGTCCAACGACGGGACCAGCTGGACAGCATAGTCTTCATAACCTTCGTGAAGACTGGCGACATACGCATGTTCCCCGAACGTGGAGGAGGTTGTTAGCAAGGCAACCGTGTCCGGCGAAGTAGGAAGTGGAGTCGCCTCACTTCCCGCGGAGCTCAGTTTTCCGAGCTTTGCCGTGGACGGACGTCTTCTTTGCCTTTGTCAGGGCATTGCGACGTCGTGTGTTTGGTGTTGTTGCACCAGTAGCAATGGTTCCACCTCTGGCGGAGCTTGTATTGCTCCTCCGTGAGGCTGAACTTCTTCCATGGCTCGTTCGACTGTCCGACTTCCGTTGTTGACGCAGATTTCGCCTTTTTTTTCTTGTTGTTGCATCGTGGCGGAAGGGCGTTGACTCCGTCTCCTTCACTAGACTCGTGAGTCAGCGCCTGTTCGTCCTCTTGTCCATTGTATTGGACAGCTGCAACTTGCTGCGGCCGGGGGCCTTTGCCCTTTTCCACAAAATTTGGTTGGCTTCGCCGCTCGTTAGCGGCCCACCGATTTGTTTGGATGACTTTGCGCGCCTTATCCACGACCTGGTCAAAGTCCCTGTACAGGCTGTGCTCCCCAAGGGCCGTGCTCGACGCGTCAACCAATTGCTGGAAGAATTCGCGACGAAGATGTACGAACGGTATGTCCAGATTCGGAATCATCACGAGTTTCTGCCATTCGGTGTCATTCGGTTAGCCATTCGCGTGTTGGCTGGCTGCCTCGGTGCATGCTGAAGATTCGGTTCACGCCTTTGCCTTGAGCGTCTTCGACGATGAAGTGTTTCCGCCACTTCTCGATCATGGCCTCCCAAGTGATCTTGGTGTAAGGCATAGAGACTTTGACGCTTTCGGTTTGAGCCAGGTGGTTGAGCCACACTTGGCTGGCACCGGTGCTGCAAAGGTAGAGTGCTGAGATCTTGACTCTGGCGGGACCAAGTGGATGGAGAGCTCGTTGGTGAACCCTTGCCACCAACTTATGGGGTCCGCCTTGTGGTAGTCATCAAATCTGTCGATGCTGAACTTTGGCATCTTGAATTGTTTCGACGTCAGGCTGTTGCAGGTCCCAGTTGGTTGCTGCTGCAGCTGACGCAGATCCGCTTGCAGGGCGGCTATTTGCTGGCTGATGGTCGCCAGTTGTCAGAAACTGTTCAAATTTCTGACGAGCGCTACTAGGTGATCCATTCGTTCTTCCAGTTCGCGGAACGATGGATCAATGCTTGATGATGCCGTGTGCCTGTGCGGCACATCATCCTTCTCCAACACGTCAAGGTGCGCATGGAGGCCCTTGAGAGTCTCCTCATACTCAGCAATGGTATGTGCCTGCCGAGCCAGCTCCACTTGTTGCCAATTAAAGTGAGGATGACTTGGTGCATCGTGTTGGCGAGGGCTGACTTGGTCTTCTCCTCCACAGTTGGTTCCGTTGTCTCCTGCGGATCAACATTCCATGCTTGGACTGCGGCGGTATGAGCGGCTTCCTGCTGCATGAGGACAGATGCGGCATCTTTTCGAGCTTTGTTATGGTTGGCAGCTGCTTCAGCGTGCTGCCGGCGCGGTTGCTCCGCATCGCGTGCAATGGCGTTGAGGCGTGCCGTTTCGGCTGCCGCCTCGCATTGCTGTTCTTCTCGTACTTGTTGCATGTTGGTGCCCAGGCGGGCCAGGAAGGCCATCATGGTCTCTCCTTGCTGCCGGACTGGCGCAGCATCGAGGGCTCCTGCAGGTGTCGCAGTGGAACCCACCTGCTGGACCTGTGGGACCAGGGGGTTCGAGTTGCATGCCTCTCCTGGACTGCCGGATGCGGCATTGTCCACTGTGGGGTTGCCCTGGTCGTCCATTGCAGAGGGGTGGGCCAGGGGTAGCTGCTGTTCCGCTGCGTCTGCCTGCCGTTCATGTGCTGCGATGCGTTTGCTGCGTCGGAGCATAAGCTGCAGTTAGCTGTACGGTGTTTGCTGACGAAGTACTGCTGACGTGGCACTGCTGTCGTGGCACTGCTGTCGTGGCGCTGCTGCTGACGTGGCACTTACCAAAACGGGAATGCAGCCAAAAGGGTTGGGTGGGAGGGAACACACAACCAAACTGTACTTTCCTCCTGGTACTAATCAACAGAAAATAAATAAATAAATAAATAATAATAATAATAATAAATAAACGAAGAGGATCACCCCCTTTTTTTTTTTTTTTGTATATCTGTCGATCTGCTATCAGTGAGGCATTTTACGGAGGAGTGCTAAGAGTAAGATCTAGGCAAGGCTTTGCAAAATTTCGTCTTTCAAAAAAAAATTGTGCGAACATACGATAGAGATTCGATTTTCAGAAAAGAATAAATCCAGTTTCCGAGAATATGACAACCTCCTATTATGCCTAACAAACAAAATGATGATAGGCTTAGCAAAATTT